AGCATTCCCTGTTTTGCCCCCACATAGTCCCCATAACGCGTAACTCCTATATCACATGCGTAACTCCCAAATAACCTGGGTAACTCCCGTTTTGATTGGGTAACTCCCAAACTTCACGGGTAACTCCCACCTAGTCTCCGATTAGGTCCCAAACCTCTCCCTAGAATTACCTGAGTACGCACTTGAATCAAAAGAAAATATTGTGCTAATCTGGGACAGTTACAGTGAGTGCCCCCGAACTTCTAACTTTGAGACAATATATCTCGGTTCTTGTGAAAGCTTCAAAGAAAGAAAAAGTTGCCAACGGATAAATTGTTTATCATAATACCGGAAAAAAGTTTGTTAGTTAACACATTTTTAATGTCTTGCATAGGAACGAAGATAATTGAGCTTAAACGTAACACTGTATGGGCCTTTCTATTACAGGTTTTACGGTATATCGTTGTGGGACCTTTGGCCACCGGCGTTTCTCTTCCACAGCTCCGTTTTTTGTTGTACCAGAATAATAGAATCAAATGCCAAAACTAGAACAACTAAATAACTTATTGAACTGTTTTTGAATCATTTCTGCTGATTTTGATATTCCGCATTTTTGAATTTTGATAATTTTTCTGTTATTTCCATCAAACAAGTTGAAAAAAACCCTATATCGAAAAAATTTCCGAAAAAAACTAATCTGGAAATCAAAAATATTTTCAGGTTACGGTAGTTTTTTTTCGGAGACTTTGGTCACCAAGTGTTTTACTCTGGTGCATTGTTCTTTTATCTATCCGCCTTCTATATTGTCAGAATTATAAAACTGCGACTTCGGTGTATGCAGACTCAGTACAAAAATGGAGTCTTTTGCACTGAGTCTGCATACACCGCAGGTCGCAGTCTTATAATTCCGACAATAGTTTCCTGCAAGTTCTATATTTTTCTGAAACTCCAACTTAAAAAAAACTCAACAAAAAACTATTACAAAAACAATTTTGTCTGGATTTCCATGAAGAATGCGTGATTAAATCTAATCTGAATGGTTCTGAATGAAACTCCCAAGAAGTACCGTTCAGAAAATTTTATTTAATCGAAAAAAAAAACAGCAAGCCGCGCATTCTAAAACAAAAAGAAAAATGCAATTATTGCGATCACAATAACTGCAAAGTACAAAACAGTATAATCTGGAGCAACTTGAGCATGGTCGTTGGTAGCCATAAGAACTCGCTCATCAACAGACATAATTGCATCTCTGGCCTCCTTCCATTTGTGAGGACCATTCAAACGATAGATGTATGGAACACGTGGACCAAAGTAAACCTGAAGTTTAGACAGATCAAACATGTTTATCTGATTGTTTTTCACCTTATAAGCCAGCCATGGATCCTCCTTCCACAGCTTCTTCATATCCAATTGCGCTCCAATCATCTTTGCCAATTCCTCAATATAATCCACATAGTCGACTTGGATAGTGTGTCTTTTACTTGTCACATATCTGCTAGCCATTTTCGACAGCTTATCATGGACATTCTCCATCATCTCTCTTTTACTAGGGATCACATTATTTCCTGTAAACTGCTCTAGGTAGACTCTTGCTTGCATCTCGGAAAGTGGCATGATGGATCCGAATGGTTGGACAAGACCAATCACAGCAAGAGTGTTCTGATCAGCTAGATCAGTTGGGAACATGTACTGGTAGAGGGATACATGATTATCCTGGACTTGAATGAGTTTTCCTTCTTCCACGAGATTGAATTCAAACGAGAATCCGGTGGACATTACGACCTGAAAATTTTTAATTTATTTTGAACCAACAGACAAGCTCACCTCATCGACTTGGTCCAACTTTGAGCCATCCTCAAATACAACTCCATGTTCTGTGAAATTTGCAATATTTGGCTTGATTCGAACCGTTCCACATGCGATTCTATTCGGCAACTCATCATTGACTGTTGGATGAGCTCCGAAAACTCTGTGAGCTGGTTTCAAGCCGTACGCTTGATGATCGAATCTCATGTTCAGTTTCATTTCAACAACACTATTGGATAACCATTCTGGGACGCGAGCGCGGATGTCAGAAATCCATTTTCTGTTCATAACCATGTCAATTGGTTTTCCATAGTCAAAGATTCGATTGAAAACCCATGTTCCGCGTCGTGTGACCAGATAAACTTGCTTGGCGATTCTGGAAAGTTCTACAGCGACGTCACCTCCAGAGTTTCCGATTCCAATAACCACCACGGTTTTGTCTTCATATCCACGATGATCCTAAAAACAGAATACCGTAAAACCTCTAATAGAACGACACCCGGATCGTCCACTTTGAGCCTATATATCTCATTTTCTGTGAAAGATATCAAAAAGTGGCTAACTAGTAAAATGTTG